ATAATTTTGGAAACAATTACCTTTGAGTTGTAAAGTTCAACTCATATTTTCTCATCAAATGCCCTTTCTATTAAAATTGACCTTTGACCGTACCAAAATATTTTTGCGATGAACATATATGTAATATTATTGTCCACAATTTTCAATCATGAACTGAGCATTCCAAAACTACTATTTTGATGAAAATCGGTCACTCCAAAACAAAGTTATTAAATTAAACCATCCAGTTATCGGTTAAAATATTGCCATAACTGACATGACATGTTGCACCTTAAAAGGGCCTCTGTACGGGAGTCACGCACGGTAGCTGATGACAACCGGCTTTAAATCAAAGCTAAATCATTCCTGATTGTGAAAAATCACATCCCGTTTGGTCGCCAGAACTGCACCACATTTTCACCATTTGGGGGGTCTGGCTTCTAGACCACAATAGATGTTTCAAATGAATGTTCCTGATGTTAAATGTTGCAGGTAGGCTGTTCCATTGTTCAATCAATGTAACATGCAGTCAGAGAACGTGTATGATGTCTTGTGTATTCAGACACTCTGGCAAAATGAGGTGATGCCAACCATTCTCAACAATTGATTATTGCACAAACACAAGTTTGTAAAGTGTGTCAGTGCACAGTGCAGTGGTGGCTGTTGCACGCTTGTGCATGTACTGGTTCATGTGTACAACATTGTGTCAGATCAAACGTGAGGTCACGTGGGTCCGCATTGCCTGCAAGCCCACGCAGGTGTGACAGCCGTGGATACAGACGCCTTACAGTCCTGGAGGACAGTGCCAGACGGAACTTACCGATGTGAAGATCCACAGAAATAAGGTCAGTTGTGTGAGCCCCTGTCATGTTACATCATCGTGAGGGTTGTGCTACATCATCGTGAGGGTTGTGTAACATCATCGTGAGGGTTGTGCTACATCATCGTGAAGGTTGTGTAACATCATCGTGAGGGTTGCGTTACATCATCGTGAGGGTTGTGTAACATCATCGTGGGGGTTGTGCTACATCATCGTGAGGGTTGTGTTACATCATCGTGAGGGTTGTGTAACATCATCGCGAGGGTTGTGTTACATCATCGTGAGGGTTGTGTTACATCATCGTGAGGGTTGTGCTACATCATCGTGAGGGTTGTGTTACATCATCGTGAGGGTTGTGTTACATCATCGTGAGGGTTGTGCTACATCATCGTGAGGGTTGTGTTACATCATCGTGAGGGTTGTGTTACATCATCGTGAGGGTTGTGTTACATCATCGTGAGGGTTGTGTTACATCATCGTCAGGGTTGTGCTACATCATCGTGAGGGTTGTGTTACATCATCGTGAGGGTTGTGTTACATCATCGTGAGGGTTGTGTTACATCATCGTGAGGGTTGTGCTACATCATCGTGAGGGTTGTGTTACATCATCGTGAGGGTTGTGTTACATCATCGTGAGGGTTGTGCTACATCATCGTGAGGGTTGTGTTACATCATCGTGAGGGTTGTGTTACATCATCGTGAGGGTTGTGTTACATCATCGTGAGGGTTGTGTTACATCATCGTGAGGGTTGTGCTACATCATCGTGAGGGTTGTGTTACATCATCGTGAGGGTTGTGTTACATCATCGTGAGGGTTGTGCTACATCATCGTGAGGGTTGTGTTACATCATCGTGAGGGTTGTGTTACATCATCGTGAGGGTTGTGCTACATCATCGTGAGGGTTGTGTTACATCATCGTGAGGGTTGTGTTACATCATCGTGAGGGTTGTGTTACATCATCGTGAGGGTTGTGTTACATCATCGTGAGGGTTGTGTAACATCATCGTGAGGGTTGTGCTACATCATCGTGAGGGTTGTGTTACATCATCGTGAGGGTTGTGAACAGCGCCTGGCGTGGCTGTGCAACCCAATTCTGGAGTGATTACACATATACCAAAAATAAAATGTCTAATATTCATAAAATGACATTTATGTCTTGAAAACAAACATCCAACCAATTCAAAACAGTGGTGTGTAACAGACTATTTTCAGTATTGAATACAATTTTTATCAAAGGGAGTGGGGCTGGGACGGGTAACCCGGGTACCCGGGACGGGTGGGCAATGACTTTGACCCGGGTACCCGTCACGTCACCCCCGACCCGCTTTGATCACGTGACTAATTTATGAAGACTTAATTGAATGTTTTTAATTATTACATATATTAACGAGATTGTTGTCTGATGTTTGAGATTGTTGACTAAACTAGCACAAGGTATCAGCTGTCGACAACTAAGCATGTCTCGTGTAACATAGGTTGCAAGTACGCCAAGTAGTTAATTGTTTACATGTAAATGACTCAAGAACGCAGACGTCCGCCTCAAATAGAGTCTGAACAAACCGCGAAGGTAGACGTGTTGTTACCGATTAGGTAACTCAGTTTCAAACTGTATGATGCATTACTTTGGCCAGTTATAACTTAAGGCATTTCAATCTATGGAACAGAGGACTATTTATGAATCAACGCAATGCAAACTGTGCTGTGAGATTTTATCTAGGTCTAGGCTATTGAAGTCGAGGCTAATGAAGAAGTTTTTGGTGACATGGGATGGAACCCTGCAACTAAGTGTACGACAAGATATATGCTTGATTCGTTACTGGAGGAGAATGGTGAATATGGACCAAGAACGTATAGAGCCCTATGTTTTTAATTGGGAAAATAATCAAGCACGGAACAGACACAACCCTTGGCACTTAGCTTTTTACCGGCGAATGAACACATTGGGAATCACCAAAGAAGCTCTTTTAAACAACATCATCACTGTAAGAGACTGTGGAGAACTACCGTTACAAGCTTTTATAAAACAAAAATATTGTTTTTGAGATGACCCCCGACTCGAAATGCTTCGCAGTACAATGATAGTATTGTGAAACATTTCGAGTCGGGGGTCATCTAACTTTTTATATATATTTATTAAAAATCTTTAATCCTCGCATAGACACGAGGGCCTGTGCTACAGAATCCATACATAAATATTCGATATAACAGAGGCCTATGCTTTAACACCTCAAAGTCTCACAGACGTGCCCTCGCTTTGTGCAGGACAGGTATAGTATAGCGCCTCCGCGTATAGAAACCGGCCGTTATGAAGGAATCGAACTTACAGATAGAAGATGTTTTCACTGCCCAAATCGGGTTGAATCGGGACAGCAGTTTATTGAACTGGCCACTTTACGACGATTTAAGAGAAGACCTTTAAACATCAGCAAAGTTTTTCATCCCACGTTTTACCCTCTTATCGGAACCTGTTTGTTTAAGTTCAATTGTCATTTTATCTACTCATATGCTTCCAATATATTGCTCTGTGATATTTAATTATCAACCGTCTCTCATAACCCTATTTATAATATTTACTGTATATTTGTATATGTATTATTATTTATTGTAATGTACATATGGTGAGACGTAAATAAGCAATCTGTCTGTCTGACTATTGTGATTAGATTATCAGTCTACGGGAGAGGGAGAGAAGTATTTACTTTGGAAACTTTATGTTTACATTACATTGTTTACTTGTTAGTTTAATGGTATACACTTTTTATTTATACCATTAATTGTATTTTGCCTGTAGATTGGAACGGCATTTGTTTGTAGCTCCTGGTTTGTTACGGAGGGATGTTTGTTGTTCAGATGTTTCCACATCGATTACGTACTCCCTCCTTTCTGACGTAGCTGCACTGTAGCCTTGTGCCTGATGCGAGTATTTAAAATATTTCCACACGCCACTCTTAATCTCGGCCATAACTGATTTTAATTAAGGGGAGTAACTCGCAATAAGAGTTACAACGGGTACCCGGGTCTGGTCGGGTAATAGGGGGTCGGGTACCCGGGTAGGAAATTTGGACCCGTCCAAGTCCTAAAAGGGAGGTAACTACCTGGTAGAAGGTTCCCTGAAGAGCCAGTTCATATTTTACTCTGTCCTCACCATGTGCAGATGTGTTACAGCTATTCTCTAGTTTCAACTTCGAAGTCTCCCTATGGCTTCAAATTGACTTCTTCTGCAACAACAATTCTGGTCAGTGTCTGTCGCATTTGATGATGATCTATTGTGTATTTTGATATTTTGTGCTTATATTGACTCGTATATATTTACCCTGCTCTACTTGGAATCACAATCCCAAGATTACATTTCAAGGACATGGCTCAGAAGAAATGCGTTGGATGTCAGCAATTTATGTCAGATAAAGATCTTCATATCTGACATTTATCCTGTTTAACAGACCCTTCCTGTTCCCTGGACAACCGTTGCTTGTTGTACCAGGACTTGTCTGAATCTGATTGGAGCTGTATGAATCATGCGCGTTCTAAGCCACCCGGGGTAGCAACGGTTCGTTTATCGTCTCCTCGGCGCCCACGGGGGCGGGCATTCCGGGCTTCCAGTGGACGGCTCGGCAACCCAGCCAAGCCAGGCCATGGCCTCTGGCTTAAGACAACAACAGGACCCTGTTAGCCCATGCGCCAAGGCTGCCACGGCTCACACGGCGTTCACAGCTATCCGGCCACGGGTATCACAGACACTTCTACGGATGGATGGCCTAATCCCGTTAGCCAGCCGCTGGATATTGGTTCGTTCCCTTATTCGCGGACATTACCGAGCCGGAAGGTGATAGTGTTATCCAATCACGGTCGGTAAGATTAGTGTGCATGAAGGAATTCTTACCGTCCCCTCCCTGGACTTGAAGGCGCAAGATTATCCTCTTGGGTGTCCTTTGTGGAGAAGATGGAACTGTTGCAATTGAAACCATGTACTAGGCCCCCGGCTACTGGGTTGGATTAGCCTACCTTCCCTGCGGAGTTGCAATCCTCTTGATGTTTACCTCCTGCTAGAACACCTAAATTGTCTCTTCATCATTCCACTGTAAGACGCACGACTTCGGATTCGTTCAACTCCAATCTATTTAAGGCTAAGGATACAGCTTACTTACCTACGGGAGCAGGCGGTATTCAACATGGGAACTTCAATGGATATCCAGGACTTCAATGGATATCCAGGACTTCAATGGATATCCAGGACTCACCAAGGAAACGCCTATGGTGGGAGGTAAGACGAATTCGGAATCTTCGCTGTCGGGAGATAAATCCCCTCAACGTCTAATTGAGTCATCCTCCAACAATACTCTCAGGACACGACCAGGGATGGGGTGGAGGCACCGAAATCAATACCCTATTAGATATTATATATTTTGGGGGAAATGTAGTCCTCGATTTGGAATCCATATCTCAAGTGACGTCATAAAAACGGAAGTGATATTATAAACACCAGAAATGACATCATAAGGACGGAAGTGACGTCATATGGGACCGGAAGTGACGTCAAAGGGACCGGAAGTGACGTCACTAACCGACAATATAAGAAGTGTGGGAGGGGTTATTAGTGACATCAAACCTCTCATGTTTCTTCTTATCTACCTTGAATACCTTCTAATATTACTTACACAATTACGATCCTCCTTGGTGATGATATTCGTAATTGCAGTACCTTTATGCTAGATAGTCTTCCTATAAATGAGAATATTCCAATATTAGGAAGTATCTTAATTGATTCAATGTCATTGTAATTCTTCAGTTGAGGTAACTACTGCCACATAATCATATTTATATAGAGAGAATCTCACCCAAGTGTCTACTGATATCAATTATATCAACACTCATTGATAAAGTTACAAATATCATCGAAAATCATTCTTCATTAGTTTTCAATGAAAAATGTATCTCTCAACACTGTACTTCCATTAGACTTGCAGTGCAGCGATGTTATAGCCCGTGTATGAAATACGCCAAAACCCTAGCCAGACATTAGGACTGGTAACTTCAAAATGTTGGATATGGTGAATTTACTCACATGTATGGATTATTTAAAACAAATGTACCAGACCATCGGGCTGGCTAGCTGTAAATTTAGACCGTCCGTCAGAAATCTAGCTTGTCTATAGCATTGTGACTTCATCAAGTTCATGACATCATACCGTTGTCAGGGCATTGTACAAAATCTGTCAAAACGATATCTCCTAGGAGATATCATATGATCTCACACACACGATATCTCCTGTGGAACACAGTTTTGGATGATTACTGCTTGTATATGTATAGTATATATAGGGTGGACCTCTGTACACCCACCATCCCACCATGTCGGATTCTTGCTACAACCCAGAGGGAATGTTTACACCAATAATTATGAAACAATCACAATTGTTGTTTGTAATTATAAGTAAACTTACCTCTGGGTTGTGCACCTGATTCCCACCCAGAGATACTATCTCTTGTTCCTCCCCTCTGTCTGTTACAGAATCTGAGGAGTAAATATGAACTGCCTAGAGTTTCAAAAGAGCTCTTCAAGGGAAGTAATCGTGGCTCTGCACGGAACCTTCTACCAGACAGTTACCTCCCTTTGATAAAAAAATGTATTCTATACTAAGAATAGTCTGTCACAAACCACCGAGTGGAAGAGGAAATGGCTACCACCACCCAGAGGTAAGTGTACTTATAATTACAAACAATAATTGTGATTGTTTCATTTTCGACATATACCACCTCCAAAAGTACCTTGTTATACTTCTGTTACGGAGGTGCGAATTATTATATACTTCTGATTATAGAGGAATATGTATTCTGTTGAAGCACAATAAATTTTGTTTACCTCGTACTTTTGTAATCAGATACTGTAAAGTAAAAACATTGGTGTTTGATAAAAAACTTAAACAGAAATTAAATGCTTCATTCCAAATGTGTTCATATAAAACATCAACCATAATCAGTCAAAACAATAACTTTATCAAGATCCCCAATGCTCGACCTTTAAGAATACCACATCTTATTTAAAAGCAAAACAAACGACATGATCAGTAATGTCAAATTTACACCTCTGTTATAATTTGGCAAGTTACATGAAGTTCTCAAATTTAAACATAAACATGAAACAATGACATTAATATCAATGCAATAATGCAATATTTCTGTAATTCGAAAACCAACAAAGCAAAATTTGCTGTAATATGCAACACATTACGGGGGTTACTTTAGAATTTGAACTTGAAACATATATTAAAACTGTCCATTTTATCAAAACAAGACAAACGTCACATCCATCCATCATGTGTCCATGGGAATTTCCACAGCGGGTAAATTTCATAATTCACCACTTTAATAACAGCTATATGCCATTTCTTCAGTTCTGCCAAATATAAGAATTCACATTCAGTTTATAACCTCCACAACATCCTTTTCAAACCCCCAAATCACTATGCTGTTGTAATCTAATTATTAGACCCTTATTCATTTTCAATTATTATAAAACTAACTAATCATGTCTGATCAGGAAGTTACAAGTTGTACAAAACTAGCAGCCCGAGTCGCAACAAGAACAGCGAGACATGATCACATCACACCAATTCTCCAACATCTACACTGGTTGCCAGTGCCACAGCGGATCAAATACAAAGTTGTCCTGCTTGTCTTCAAGTGTCTCCACAATCAAGCCCCTCAGTATCTCTCCAGCACGAGAACCAGATATCAACCTGTCAGATCTCTTCGATCCTCTCACCAGTTTCTCCTTCAGCCACCTGCACTAAAAACCAGTCGCATCACCAGCCGTTGTTTTCAAATTGCCGGACCAAACTTGTAGAAACAACTCCCACAACACCTGAGATCTAACCACGACCTGGACTCATTCAAATCACAGCTAAAGACTCATTACTTCCGCGAAGCATACAACAACTAACTTTCCATCAGAGTCTGAAGCGCTGCAGAGCAGTTTATTTCTGGATATGGCGCTATATAAGTTTTTCCATAGATTGATAGATAGATAATCATTCTGTCAAAATCGACATTGTAATCAGCTATACTTAATGAAATATAAAACAAAATATTCATGTATATCAAAATATATGATTACAACCTCCGTAACAGAACTTTTGTCACTAACATTTCCAGAAAGCCTTAATACTGCATTATTTTCCCCAAAAGAACATCATTCTTATATATTTACAGATAACTAACAGCACGTTGAAAACCCAAAAGGATAATATATTAGATAAATAAAAGTGATGGAGGTGAGTTTTTTTTCATCACAGAAAAACAAAAGTTGAGGTCCCCCAAAACAGTTTCTTGTTTATTTCTTAATGTGTATTACGATGTGTATGCGGGAGACATGGATACACATCAACTGCCACCATGTTGGTGGAATGACTGTGAAGTGAGAATGAAGTAATGACGATGGACATGTTGAAACACACTTGCATATGTATATGGATCAGTCTCGGAAAATCACTGATTTTCTACCCGACAAAGCGGGAACAGACTTATTTGTGTTAAAATCTTGTTTGTTTTTTAATATTGCCACCAACACGGATACAGGGGAATTCGTATGCGAACCATGATGATCTGGGGCGAAGTGTTTGTGACATTATAAAGTGCGTGATGGATATGGTTATACAACCCGGAAGTGCGGCATTTACCGATATGGGGCGTTTCTTGTCATAACCATGATCGGCAATTAACGATAATATGACATGAAGTCATAAGTGCGGGAGTACAACACTGTCACTATATATAGTCCGTTTGCTGCAAAATCGTTCCCATGAAATGGAGCTGAAGGGATCGTTCTCGGTACAGGTACTACAGGTGTGTATCCCAGGTCGTACACTAGCCAAAACCAGAAACCAGAAACATACCCTAGGACGAGTCCACTCCCGTTTTCTCGATGGTAACTGCCACACTGTTGTATTAGATACATTTGATTGCGTATAAAAGAAACCAGCATGCACAGTAACGAATATTTCGCGATTCACAATACCACTCGTAATCAGCTGAACGGGAACAACTACATTCAGGTTTTGGGTTGCGAAATATGGGTTCGTTCCCTGTTTAGAGTACCAGCTACGTTTCTATATTCTGATTTTGGCTAGGATACGTTTCTGTATACTGAAACGTACCTGGGGTACATATCTGTAGTACCTGTGCCGACTACGACCGCTTCAGCTCACCAGCTACGCGGATTTCTTCTTGTTTGAAAAGAAATATTTTTGCAGTTTTCATCACTTCATTAAATATACATGAAGCGTTTCCCATAGCAGAGACCATATAACATATACATGCAGAGTTTCTTATAGCAGACACCATATAATATGTACATGCAGCGTTTGTCATAGCAGACACCATATAATATATACATGCAGTGTTTGTCATAGCAGAGACCATATAATATATACATGCAGCGTTTGTCATAGCAGAGACCATAAAATATTTACATCCAGCGTTTGTCATAACAGAGACCATATTATATATACATGCAGCGTTTGTCATAGCAGAGACCATATAACATGAACATGCAGTGTTTGTCATAGCAGACACCATATAACATGTACATGCAGTGTTTGTCATAGCAGAGACCATATAACATGAACATGCAGTGTTTGTCATAGCAGACACCATATAACATGTACATGCAGTGTTTGTCATAGCAGACACCATATAACATGAACATGCAGTGTTTGTCATAGGAGAGACCAAATAACATGTACATGCAGTGTTTGTCATAGCAGACACCATATAACATGTACATGCAGTGTTTGTCATAGCAGAGACCATATAACATGAACATGCAGTGTTTGTCATAGCAGACACCATATAACATGTACATGCAGTGTTTGTCATAGCAGACACCATATAACATGTACATGCAGTGTTTGTCATAGCAGACACCATATAACATGAACATGCAGTGTTTGTCATAGTAGACACCATATAACATGTACATGCAGTGTTTGTCATAGCAGACACCATATAACATGTACATGCAGTGTTTGTCATAGCAGAGACCATATGACATGTACATGCAGTATTTGTCATAGCAGAGACCATATAACATGTACATGCATTGTTTGTCATAGCAGACACCATATAACATGTACATGCAGTGTTTGTGTTAGCAGAGACCATATAACATGTACATGCATTGTTTGTCATAGGAGAGACCATATAACATGTACATGCAATATTTGTCATAGCAGAGACCATATAACATGTACATGCATTGTTTGTCATAGCAGAGACCATATAACATGTACATGCAGTGTTTGTCATAGCAGAGACCATATAACATGAACATGCAGTGTTTGTCATAGCAGACACCATATAACATGTACATGCAGTGTTTGTCATAGCAGACACCATATAACATGTACATGCAGTGTTTGTCATAGCAGACACCATATAACATGAACATGCAGTGTTTGTCATAGTAGACACCATATAACATGTACATGCAGTGTTTGTCATAGCAGACACCATATAACATGTACATGCAGTGTTTGTCATAGCAGAGACCATATGACATGTACATGCAGTATTTGTCATAGCAGAGACCATATAACATGTACATGCATTGTTTGTCATAGCAGACACCATATAACATGTACATGCAGTGTTTGTGTTAGCAGAGACCATATAACATGTACATGCATTGTTTGTCATAGCAGAGACCATATAACATGTACATGCAGTGTTTGTGTTAGCAGAGACCATATAACATGTACATGCAGTGTTTGTCATAGCAGAGACCATATAACATG